TATCGGCCCAACAGCGCCCCCCTTTGCCTCGCTGCTCCTGGCCGACAGGTTAATACACCATCATGCAATCGCTTTTACGTTCGCCGCCCCGACGACCGTCTCCACTTCGGTCGTCGGCGCGGATCGCCGCCCGCAGGGCGGCGGCACCTGCAGCGGCCGGGGTCATTGATGCAGCCCCTCTTCCTTGGGAATCGGCCGGAAACGACCCGGCAGGCTCGCCGTTTGACGGCGGCGGCCAGTCATTTGCAAGCCCGCCGTCTTCTGTGCTGCTGCGGCGCTCCTCCGGCCGGCAGCCTGGCGCGCAACCACCGCTGCGGCAGCCGCCCGCCGCCAATGACGCCGGGACGCGAGCGGGCTCTGCAGCGGGCGAGCTCTGCAGCGCCCCAGAAATAGAGCCAGCAGATTCACCTCGTGGCTCTATCAGCCTCGCTGCAGCAGCGCAGGTTCCTACAGATCTTTCAGAGCTGCGCGCCCGTGCGTCACAGCGCCGCAGCGCCCGTTTCGATGCCCCAGCCGAGGCAGAGGGCGCGACTGGCAGACTGGAAGCCCTGCTGTCAACATACCTGGACCAGATAAACGACAAGTTTACCGCCATGCAGGTGCAGCACGACGATGTGCGGGCAGCGGTGGCGGACCTGCTGCGGCAGTCGCAGGCAGCGGACACCATATTCCCAAGCGGCCCCGCGTTTGGCCCCACGCCAGCTGAGGCGGCTGGGCGGAGCCCGCCGGCCAGGCCGCCCGCGTCTCCGCAGCAGCAACACGCCCCGGTGCACTCAGCTGCACGTCAAGGCACGGGCCAACCGCCGCCACCGCCCCCTCGCGGCACCGGCCGCGTTGTGCCCGGGCTATTCGGCGGCTGTGCCGCGCAGCAGTCCTCGTGTTCGGTGCCGGCAACCCCGCCCGCCTCTGCGGCCGCAGCGGATGCGGCGGCAGCAGCCAATGCGGCGGCCGCAGCGGCGGAGGCCGGGGCGGCGGCTGTTGCGGCGGCAGTCGCACAGACCTCATCGGGGCTGGGCGAGCTCCCGCCACCCTCCCTCCTGGCTCAGACTTACCTAATCCAGGAGCTCTACCACCGGGCCATCTTTGAGGCCCAGGCAGCTGCGTCGCAGCTAGTGCCCGCTCCGGGCGCTGCGGAGCGCGTTATTACGCTCCGCCGCGACCTTGCCAACCGCATGCGGCAGCTCGAAGCGGGCCAGTCCGTCATGACGGCTGACGACGCAGTGAAAATTCACACACGTCTTACTGGCCGGGCCCCCACCCAGCCGCAGCAGCAGCTGCAGCAGCAGCCGCAGCAGCAGCCGCTGCAGCAGCAGCTGCACCACCTGCAGCAGCAAGTGCTGCAGCTGCTGCAGCAGCAGCAGCATCCGCCAAGCACGCCACGGCGCATGTCGCAGCAGCCGCCGCCACCACCACGGCAACCAATGCTGTCGCCCCTGGCGGGCCTTCTTGGCCCCGGCGAGTTGTGCGATATCAACAATAGCAATATTGGGCAACGGTGCCCGTCTGTTGCCCACCTCGCCGCGTCCGGCCTCGGTGGCGCTGAAGCCTTTCTTGGCGCAGCGGCCCCCACCCTGGCAGGTGGGCTGGGCGCCATGCAGGGGTACTCGCGGGTGGCCGGGGGAGGGCTCCCCGACCAAGACGCCATAATTCAGGCGGGCCTCGCCATGGGCCGCACTGCCACCACATATATCCACGACCCGCCGCCGGCGAATGCCCAGATGGTGGCAGCGGCGGCGGCGCGTGGCCGCACTTTCTCGTTTGAGACGCCGCCGTACATAGAGGATTGCGCACTTCCCGGCGGCGGCATCGAGCCACGGCGCACCTTAGATTTATACCAGGATCTCTCTGATCCATCGCGGGTGTCATATAGAATTAGGCGCCCCGCCGCGCGCAAGTCCCTCGCCGCCATGCTGCGCGAGGTGCCCCACCTACCCGCGTGGGCCTCGGCCTTTGTGCCGTGGACCGCGCAAATGTGCCTGCTGCGCTTCCTGGACCCCACCAGCGCGCTCGATTGCTGGGAATTAGGCACTTTCTTCCATCGCTGGTACCGAATCGGGGTGAAATACACCGAAGTCGGCGAGTGGGGGCAGTTTTTACTGCTTCAGCAGGCCGCGCTGCTGGCTAAGGCCAACAGCAGCGCCTCGTGGTCAGCGCATGACGGCTTCATCACGCTAGAGCTGGCCGCCCGTTACGCCGCCGAGACTGCTGCGGCCGCGATCACGCCGCGCTCGGCTGGCACGGCCAGCGGCGGCGGCGGCGCGGCTGGCGGTGGTGGCGGCGGCCGGTGCTCGAACC